ACGCAGTGTATACTACAATGTTTAGTGCTCTAATAAGACCACTGCAATATTCAGAAACTTATAAACAATGACAAATTATTTAAATAAACAAAACAATTATTTAATCAGGAAAAATCCAATGTAAATATACAGTGGATGTCTAATCTGGTACTTGTCAATGTAACAGTTGTGTCTCAGTGTTATAAAATCTGCAATATGTATACTGTATTTATATATAATAATTATAGTTTTCACCAACTCATCAAAAGCTGAGAATATAATAATACAATATAGAATAGTAATACTACTACTACTACTACTACTACAAATAATAATAATAATAATAATAATAATAATAATAACATATTTTGCCTTTTGGTTGATTTACTAGACTGATCTTATAAATTATTTTTTGTGTGTGGTTTTTTTGCACATAAACAAATGAGGTCAAATAGTCAAAAGCTCCTTTCCAATGATTCACATAAATGATACTGCCTCAGTATTGTTACTGACATAAATTGCAATGCTTATTTAATTAGTTATTGACAGACTTCAAGCTGCCTTTCAGCTTGAAAATCACATTCAGTGCCAGAAACACTGACAACAGCAACACCACAAACAAACAGGCTTCAGCTGCAACACTACACACATCTGGACTAATTTACACATTTATTGTGTTGTCCTTCATTCTAAAACATTTCTTTTTTTTCTATCCCTTTTTACAACTCAGCACCTGGAGATGGAGAGAGAAGTGAAATGAACATTTGCACTCACTGTGTTCCCCAAGACGTAAAGAAAAAAATAACTATATGACACTATATGAAACTATATGAAATGACATAACAGGAGGACAAACAGAAAAGAAAATGTGATGTGGAGAGTTTGAAGACAGCACATACCTGGATATTTCTCAGTAACCTTCTTCAGTCGGAACTGCTTGTATAACACACTGCTGGTGTCCAGTTCACAATTCATAGCTTCATATAGCGCCAACTGTTCAAGAAACTCCTCATTCATCCTGAAAACACAAGAAGCCAGCTGTTCAAAATGGCACTCAAACATAGGTTTTGTTTGTAAGAGCATGACAAACAGCTCTTCCAGTCTTACTTGACATCTGGTTTGATGTGCTGGAGTTTGGTATACGCCTCATGTACACTCAGCTTGTGTGTCTTCATTAAATAAGCAGTGATGATGGCAGCGCTCCGACTCTGACCTGCATGACTGAAAAAAAGGACGACAGGGGAACCAGTTAAAAAAGCAAAGTTAACCATTTTATATTGTAACAATGAGTCGTCTTCTTTAATGCTGTGATGTGTGTATATATACATATTTAGTGTGTCTGCATGCATGAGTGTGTCCCATCCAAGTAAGGTTTGAATAATACTTGTTAATCAACTCGGTTTTTTTTTTTTGCAATTTAATGCTGATACTAGCGCTCTTAGAGAGTCCCTGGAGGACTAGTGGTGAGGCCTCGGCGCTCTCACCGCCACGCCCCGGGTTTGATTCCCGGCAAGGGAACTGACCCCAGCACACGACAGTGCACTGGAAGTCCCAAGCCCAGATAAAATTGGGGAGGAAGGGCATCTGGCATAAAAACTGTGCCAGATCAAATATGTGGACCAATGATCCACTGTGGCAGCCCTCAACAGAAGCAGCCAAAAGAAGAACAACAACAATCACAACCAAAGCTCTTAGATGATACCTGATGCTGAGGATACCTGATACCATCTTCAAGTCTCTGTTGCTGAGTAGCGTAAAACATCATGGCATGATGACGGTGTGCTTTAAAACAACTTTGTTTCCTGTCTAACCTACGTTAGATCAAATCTGATCTCAGTCCAATCCAACATTTCAGACCAAAGTCAAGCAAGTGGGAGGTTTTTAATTTTATTTTTAAAAAATCCCACACACATCCCTATTCAACAAAAACAAACAAACAAAAAAAACCTTCCAGTTTAGACCATACCCACCTCATGTAGAAATCTAAATACATGTACATGGAATACTAAACAGATACAGACTGTAGCATTGCAGTATATCTCTAGTATAAAGAATACAGCACATGCAGATTTCAACAGAAAATATGTGTTCATTTGTAATGATCACAATTACAATATCAAGAGAAATAATCTGCACTTATAATTTTTGTTATAATCATATAGCTGTGATAAAGGTAATATTAATTTACTGCTCAGCTCTGTGCATGGCCTACATTCTACCCTACTTCTAAATTTCTTTAGATGAAAGTATTTGTCAAATGAATAAATGAAATTTATTGAAATGAAATTCTGATCCTGTATGAATCCCAAACTGGAACCTACCAGTGAACAAGAACGGATGGTGTTGATCCTGATGGTGCTGACGATGCTGATGAGGAGGAGGACCAGGAAGATGCATTCAGGGCATCGCTGATAAACTGGACGCAGCTGTCCAGCTTGCTAAGGAGATCTGTGGATGAATCGTCCAGCGCATGGACAAATTTGGTGTGAAATCCAGAAAGTTCTGGTTGTTCAGAGTCCACACTGAGGATGTGAGTGATTCCTGCGAGGGTCAGAGCTTCAGGATCCTTAAGATCTGACACAGAGCCAATATAGAGACCAGCTTCAACTGAGATCATGGTGCTGTTTAAGAGATCCTTCCTAAATAAACAGCCTGGATTAGGAAACAAACAAAGAGATAATGTTAAGAAATAAAATTTGGATTATGAATTATAGAAAAGACAAGAACCAATCACATACCTGATGCTGTGTATTTACTGTATTCTTTATTATTCTAGTGAAAAACACTGTTTTTATTACACTTGAACTATATGTGTAGCAGTGGGTGTTGCACCGAAATCCTAAAGACTGAGATTTTATGTAACTTTGAATGTACACAATAAAAAATGTACTTGACTGCAACCTCTAAACTAATGAGATGTAGCTGTAGAGATGTGCTTAGCTATAGCTTGCTGTGTACACATGTCTACGTTTTCGTGCGTATTTTTTTTAAATAAATACATAAGCAGTTAGTAACTAAATAGTTATATTATGTCTTTTTAATTGTTTTACACTGTGGTACAAGTTGCAAATAATTTCAGTGCTGTGAAACAAATGTGTAACATTTTTAACAGTTGCAATGCGTTACCTGTTCATGCCGGTCCTTTACAAAAACAGGTTCGATGAGAAACTAAAGAGAAAAAGCTTCAGTTCCGGACATTTTAGTTCCGGAATCAATGCGTTAGCAAAGTTGAGTCACTAGAGGGCATCAAGTACCAAGTCATATAGAGTGTTTATTCAAATAATTTCCTAATATATATACAGCAAGTATGATGTCAGAATGCTAAAACCATACTAAAAAAAAAAAAAACTTACTGTCAGGGGTTAAATTGGTATTTAGTTGTGCATGGCCTTTTCTTGGGTTAGCCTAATGCCCGAGCATTTGGGTCAGTCCACCTCAAGTGATTTGAGTCACATCTTTGAGTGATTACCTCTAGGTATTGGCATTGCAAAACCACCATTTTTTTAAATTTATTATTTCACTTGATGATGGCCATCTTTGTGTCATGGCACACAACAAATTTTGGTTATACAGCTGTTTACGGAAACCTCAGTATCTCGGCTCAGGGTGGTCTTAGCTCCTTGGAACAAAAACCGATCTCTAGAGCACATTACAAGGTACATGTACATATATAAATATTTTGCACATTCTTGTTCCTTAGTCTTACAACTTAAGTCCTAATGTAATGCTCAAGCTTGCTCACAGTGCCAGTATTAGGGTCAATTTATATTTAATTTAATAGGAAGGGTTCAAGTCTCAGTCTTAATTTTATAGGGGGTACCTTGGTAAGTATAGTGTGCATGCAGAACATTTCAGGTTTGAGACTTCTCTTATTTATTTATTTATTTATTTATTTATTTATTTATTTATTTATTTATATGGGGGTGAGAAGGTGCAATTTTTTTTTTTTTTTAATTCCCCTCACTTTTGGGTTGAATATCTCTGGTAGGGGACCAGATACAAACCTGAAATTTTCACAGAAATAAGTCCTCTATAGTCTCCATTCTGCTGTAAAAATTTTGAGTTTGCGATTCCACTGGTTACAGAGCTAGGGCTAGTAGAATTGTGGGGAAAAGCCTACTTTATTCATGCATTTCGACAAATGAACAGATGCAATATAAGCATAACAAATAAAAAAATGAACAGTATTTTACAGTAATTATGTTTATGATTGACATACAATAGATTATGCTTGTCAGTGAGGTCTAAAATATTACTACATTTGATATTGGCAACAGTGAGGCATGATCTGTGACAGGGTTCTTCAAATCTTAAGTGCAAAATGTTTATATATGTACATGTACCTCTAGAGATCAGCTTTTGTTCCAAGGAGCTTAGACCACCCTGAGCCATAACCAAAATCTGTTGTGTGCCATGACACAAAGATAGCCATTGTGGTTAAAGTCAAATAAAAAAAAAAATTAAAAATAAATAAAAAAAACTGGTGGTTTTGCAATGCCAATGCATAGTCATTCAAAAAAATTAGGAAAATTAAAAATGGTCAAGCAACCTTTATTGGACCACTTGAGATGGACTGACCCATTTGCAACAATCTTACCACACAATAATTTTAAAATTAAACGCTATTTGCCTTTTAGTTCACATGGTATGATTATGTCGTGTGACATCTGGCTATGTCATATTTTCCCCTTTCACTGTTAATTTGTACTCAAATTGCTGCAGCTAGTGATGTAGTAAATAGGCAGCAGAGATATGAACACACAATTTAAACTGAAACACATGCAAACTGTCTTTCTGTATTTAATTTTTCTTAGTTATCTTTATTTATCCTGCTTGTTGCATCTGGTTTAAAATACTCAACACACACTGAATTCTCACTTCGTATGAGATCAGACAGTTCTGATGTCATTGACTACGTCCTGAGGGATCTAATATTAATTAATTACCAGTTTCTTGAAGTAAATCAAATTAGGCTTTTTAGAAGGAATTGTGTTGCTACTTGAGTGAAATATTTCAGATGGCCTACTTATTTCTCGTATGATGCAATGTTTCTAAAACCCTGTAGTCTGTAGTATTCGCTTTTACTGGAGCTTTAAATCTCTTGTGCTTTCAAGTGTGCCTGATGTGCTGCTATAAGTGTAATCCTGCCCTTTTGGCCGCTTATGGCCGTCTCAAATGCTGTGGGTGAAAGCAGATGCTGTGACATTTACCCAGTCACTGCAGAGGAGCAGTAATAAGAAAGCAAATAAAAAGAAAGAAAATAATAAGAAAGAGGCGATCAGAAGTTGGCTATGATTAGCATTCTGATCAGTTTGCTGGTATTGTTAAAATGTCACATGTAACTAAAATTGTTTTTAAAAAATCTGAGTCTTTAAAAAGTCTTAGATTTATAACAAATATGCTCCATTTTAATATTTGTGTTTTTATTCTCTGTTATGATTTAGTGAGTTTTTAATCTGGTCTCTCCTGTCAGGCTATAGGTCCAATTCAGAGCTACACAGAAAATCATTTGTTAAGAAGTACATTGTAGTACAATTTTCAAATAATTTCAGTGCTGTAAAACACATGTATAAATAAAAAAAGTGTAGTGCTCTGCCTGTTCATAACAGTTCTTTACAATACCTGGTTCAGTGAGAAACTAATGAGAAAAATCTTTAGTTCTGGATTTTTTTTATTTCCATTTAAATTTTTTTATTATTTTTTTTTTTTAATTTTCTTTTGTGATTTAGTGAGGTTTTTGATCTCGCCACTCCAGTCATTAGGTCTTTAGGGCTGCACAAGGCCTCTATCATTTGCTAAAGTATTGCAATATTTGCCTTTGCAAAACTGACATCACATGTGATGAACATGACCCCATTATTAAGTGTGTGCTGTAATCATTCTGTCCATCTCTCCATCATCATATCACTGATTTATCCTCATGTTAAATACCCAACAGCTCCAAGCATTTGTACTAATATAGCTAACAAAAACCAATAAGATCATACTACTAAAGTAGTACTAAGCTATGCTCACTTCACTGACCTAACTCTTTATCATACAAAAGCAAATCATACCTAGATATGTGTAAAACAATTTGGATTTTTTCCCTAAAGATTCCTATGAATGATTTATAAAATGTCCATACACATGAAAAATGTTCCTAAATCTGTGACCTGGTTATTAATCACAGTCATCTTAATATCACGTGCACATGAATAAACACATCAATAGAGAACTTTATATGGTGGAATATCATTATATAGTGGAGCAGTAGCAATGTGAACAGTATGTTGAGTAATTGGTCATCTGATACAAGAGATGACAGCCAAACTGAAATGTGTGACAACCAGCCCCGTACTATTTATTGATCAATAGGAGAGACACCATGGATCTGTGGACTGCCTGCTTCATTCAGATTAAAGGAGTAGTTTAGCTTAAAATGAAATCAATACTAATACTGACCGATAATACTAAAAATAGCATGCTTTCAGTAGTACTTTTTATCATCATTACTGGATCAGTTGCACTTTGTCAGT